ATATAAGACCATCGAAAATCAATGTGAACATGCATGCTAATTAAGTTGTCATTTTTTACCGAGAACGGTTTCTGCAGGTGATTGAAAAAACGTGCATTTATAAGCCGACATCCTGCCGAGTACGAAATACCATAGGATTACGATGCGGGAAAATCAACATTACAACCCCACTTAAGTGATCCTTTCTAGTCGAAAACGCGTTTCAAAATGTTGGCCAACATTTTCTGAGATCGGTCACTCACTGTAGGTGCGGTTCCGGTCGCGTCAATCGCTTGAATCCTCTCTCGCCTTCTGTGCTCTTAACTACGTCTTGAACCCTGACCCAGATTTTGAATGAAAAGTGAGTGTGCTGAATTCTGCCCAAGTCTTCTGTTACGCTAAACTAATTAACATACAATTTACCTTGAATGCTTTAGTTTGCTGTGAAGCATACGGTGGAAATCGTGGAGTACAACAACCGAAATACAACTTCACTCCCGACTGAGAATTCATAGTTACACCGACGAGAGGAAGAAAATCGCCTCCTTGTGACGTAGCTGTCAGTGTTATCTAGCGACACACCATTTCCCTGCGAGGTGCGGGTTTTTGTGAGAGCGAGCTGGCATTTCACTGACTGAAAAGGACAACTAACACGTGATGGCCGCTTCCGTGTTCCCCCTCTTTGTCGTACATTTTTACGTGATTACTGATTGTCTATGCAGTCTTTTGGATGCCGGCTCTGCAGAAGAACCTCAATGAAGGGTAGAGGAGCGTCAAAGTCATGTGACACCTTTTGCAGAAGGAGCTGGGGCCGCAAAAGAGAGGTCCCATATTGTGTGACGTCATGTTATTCTAAGGCAGCGTTTCAATTAGTAAATTCTAATACAGACGGTGCATCTGTACTCTGATAATGCTATTAACCACAACTACGAAGTTCAAACTAATGCAGCAATTTTCTCTGGTTAACAATAACCCTGTCCATCTTCTAGTTCTTACCGATTATTATGTCAGCTTCGATTTAGACACGCCCCACATTCTAAAAGATATGTCAAAGGACAAATATATTTTTAAGGAGTAGAACAATAGTTGCAAAGCCTCACTGTCGTCGCCAATCTCTTGTAGCATATGACAGACAGAACAATGAAAGGAAAATTTTTTGCTAAGAAAACCAGACTTAATTTTAAAAAATATATACACTTCTTCCCAAAACTGTGCCGCATAATCGGGACAGCTGGATGCGCAACCGTGGATGGCAGGCAAACGTCAGTGTCATGTGATGTGTTCATCAAAAGTAGACAAAATCTTAAAGAAAATAACCCCGCACTGCAAAAATTAAAGCGATAATGTTATCGTAATGTCACTAACCACAGCCATGAGATCTTAACGGATACAACATGTTTTGTTTCGAAAGTTAACATTTTTCTAGGCGCATACTGTCCATATCCTCGTCCTTCGTTTAGTCCTTGCTGATGGGTTTATGTTGAGACGCCCTTTCTTTTAAAGGATATCGGCAGAGCAAATCAAATTTGAACGGAAGGTCGTCTCCTAAACCAGATGGAACAGAAGAATAAGCGCAAAGATTCAAAGAGTTTGCCGATCTCTTGTGGCATATAACGGTTAAAACAAAAGAGAGAAATATGTTTTGCTTAGAAACATAAGATGAAATTGGAAAAAATATTTTTCCTCCAAAAGCCATGGTTGATAACCGGGCCAGCGTTATCTATTTTTATGCCTTATCCTAAATCCCTGCAAATTCTGCGAGCTTGAATCCTCCCAATATCACCGGCAGCACCTTCACTGAATTCCATGTCATGATCAGCAGATATGTTCTGAAGATTGTCAAAGGAGACAATTCATGTGATGCTCTCGGCTGAAGTGAATAAAACCGTACCGAGATGGGTACTACAACGTATCCAGGACCACAGCAAATTCTGAGAAATTAAAGCGAATGCGCATAGGAGGACTCCTCAGCTCAACCTTCCAGATTACCACTTAATATATGTCCTTTTAATTCAGAGGACATTAAATGAGACAATTCAGTCGGGAATTTTCAATTAACGCAACTGGCCTGGAGTGGCAACTTCGAGCTAATTAGTCATTGTTAGCCAACCTTACTCAAACTCCGGTTTTCATCTTCTGAACCTCAATACCGCGTGCTTTGACTATTGGGCGTTATTAAATTCAATGACCTAAGCATTGTGCAATAAGCTCATTGACCTTTCTGTTCTCAACCGGAATACCATATTAGTTGAAAACACATTCACGATTGAGTAACGGGCATAGTCGTACCGATGTGCCTTCAAACTAATACTAGAGTAGGCAAAAGGAGATTACAAATAAAAATAATAACGGCAGTTCAATATTCATCGTCGATCGACTCAACAAAACGTGATGTTTGAAATTTACTAACGGAAGAGCCGTTGTGCCTGCCTCTCGCTTGAATCATCAGGAAAGGCCTTTCATGTTAAGGAATCCAGACTTAGTTTTAAAGGCGACTTTTTACCACAAGTTATGGCTAGTAATCTAATTGACCTATTGTTTTATCTGAAGATGTTTATTGGCATATAAAGTGATGTACAGTAGGTGGGCTAACTCATGAAATGCTAGCCAAAATTTCGAAATACTTAAGTAACATGCAGTTTTCTCATTGCTTTTCGATGTCCTTGAAAATTAATTATATTTCATGGAAAACACATATAGAATATTCATTTTTTGCTTATTTGATAGAAAATTACGTCTTCTTCTGATTTTATACTCTTAAAAAGGGTATACCTCGGTTTTCAAAAACTTTTATGATTACCGAATAATGTTGATCCCGATCTGCTATTACACGTGCATTCAGGGTTTAAACTCTACAAGCCGCATATTTTCCGCGTACGGAAAACCATGCATTTCTCTACGGGATTAAGTGGGAACCATATTGGTTTCATAAAATTAAGCAGGTGATTTGAAAAATATTGTTAACTTATCCAGCCGCATTGGTTAATGCAGATACATGACGTTTTACGAACGGCCATTTCACGATAATAAAAATTCTCACACTTCAAAACTTTCTTCAAACCGATTAATACCCTCCTTTCGAGTTTAAAATCGGACGACGACGTAACTTTCTACCGAAGAAGTAAAAGAAGGAATATTTTATTCATATTTTTTATGAAATATATTTGGATTTTCAAGAGCATCGAAAATCAATGAGAAAACTGCATGCTACATAAGTAGTCATGTTTTGCAGAGTAAAGTTCTTGCATGCAGTCGGAAATAAGTTCATTCGAATGTCGACACCCTGAGGTAATTGGATCATTATAGAATTATGATAGACGGTTATTAGTTTTGCAACGGTACTTAATTAATCTTTTTGAAACGAGAACGCAGTTCGAAATTTCGGTTGGCATTTCATGCGTTAGCCACCCACTGTACATCAATTTATATGTCAGCAAAAATCTTCAGATAAAACAACGGTTCAACCAGATTAATAACCATGGCTTAAGGCAAATAAATCGCCTTTTAAAGCTGAGTCTGGGTTCTTTCCGGGTGATTCAAGCGAGAGGCGGGTACAACGCCTTTTTCGTTAGTAAATTTCAAACATTACGTTTTGCCGAGACGATCATCGATGAACATTGAACTGCCGCTATTAGTTTTATCTATAATCTACTACCCAATAGATGGCTGTCTGAAGCCACATGGTTTCAAAACTGCAAGCCGTATATTTTTCGCGTACGAAAAAGCACACATTCCTCTACAGTAAAAAAGGTGGACTATATAGGTTTCATAAAATTAAGCAATAGATTTGATCCGTATTGTTAACGTTGCAAGCCACTTTGGTAAATGCATAGACACGCCGATTTATGAACGTTCATTTCATGGTATTTAAAAGTCACACAATTATGTTCCACCTCTCAATATAAAATTAGAAAAAGATGCATTTTCTACTGAATGAGCAAAAGAGTGAATATTTTATACATGTTTTCCGTGAAATATAATTGGACTTTTAGGGGCACCGACAATCAATGCGAAAAATACAAGCATGCTTAAGTATACCCTTTTGCATGGAGCCAAAAGGAAATTTTTTCGAAAGCCGGCATCCAGAGGTAACGGAAATATTATAGTATAATATTGCAGGCTGATCAGTTTTACAACGCTGCTTAATTAATCTTTTCGAAACGAAAACGCATTTCCTAATTTCGGTTGACATTTCATGAGTTATCCCACTTATTGTAAATTATGCGTTCAAGGTGATGTCCCTTAATCCCTTGTGAGTTCATATCAACATGTTCTCAGTAATCCTGCGGATAAACATGGGGACGTAGTTCGTTCGCACTGTAATAGGCAAATGGATGTAGCAGAAGGAGCAATCCCAATGCGACCTAAAACAGTAACATTAAGAGGAAAAGGAATTTTTCTGCGAGAGGTTGTATGATAATCAGTAGAATCACAGATAAACGGAAGATCTACGAAATTGCCGGGTAACAATAGCAGCTGCGTTAGGAATTTCAATGTACATGAAACACTGACTGAGATGATCGCTGAAATAAGAGCTTTATTAGCCTGACGTTTCGGATTCTAACTCGAATCCATGATCAGAAGCACAGTCAGATAAGGATAGTAAATTGCCTAGATGCTGCGGTATCTATAGGATATAGTTGTTAGGCTGCTATATGTTTATCGCAGTTGGCGACTCCGGAAAGTATCACGGCTCGACTAGCCAGAGGTCGAAGTGCGCGCTTGTGTGTCGGTTAAGATTGTTTCCTCCACGCCTATCACAAGCACTCGAGTTGCTAACTGCCGGATTTCGTCATCCATTTGGACTCAGGCAATTTGGCTCGTTGGCTTTGAAATCAGAAGTATTGGTCATCCATACGGTCTCCTCGCTCCTAACTACTTTGTCTAAACAAAGTCTCAGCGCCGAATATTGATTAAGAACCAAAAAACCGCGACTCAAGTAGTTCGCTGCTCACGCGATTGTCACCTCTAGCAAGAATTTCTGCTTCGTCAAACCTGAGTATGCGGCTGGATCCCGTCAAATGAGCCGCGACTTCGAAGCTGGCGTCGTTCGTTCTCACCATTGCTGCGTGTTCGGCCATCCGCGTCAAAAGAAGTATTTCGGTTCATTTGACATAGTTGATTTGCCCACGTCCGCATCAGACCCGGCTACCGACATCAGCTGCTTCTTGCCGTGGCAACGGGTCTTTCAACCTCATAATTTGGCGCCTTATGGATACATCAGGTTTGTGTGCGACTCCAAATCCAAGGGGTGTCAAAAGTGGCTGACGGCTTCTGGAACGGTCTTAACATATGGAATAGCTAGCCAAAATTTTAGGGCCGGTTGGATTTCGTTTCTGCGATATGCATGTGGCGGCCTAGCGACTACATCCTATAAATACTGCAACACCTAGGCAACTTACGACCTTCATATGACTCTGCCTATCATGATGGATTCGAACGAGAATCCGAAACGTCAGGCTAATAACGCTCTTGTTCCAGCGATTTTGTCTCTCTATATCTTCCCAGAACTTGCCTTTCCGCTTTTCTTGCCGAACTAACTTGTGTTCCAAACGTAAAGTCTTTATGCATTTGAAATCTATTTTATTTTTATAAACCACAGAAGATAAGGGACATCTTTCACAGCAGGCTTCGACAAACTGTACGGTTCAAACTCCACTAAATTAATTTTTGAGACGATTTTTTTCTAAAATTTTGTCTTTAATACCTAGCACTTTAGTCGTCCTTTATTCGTCGGCAACTATAATTTGACGGAGGCTGTCCTCCAGTTTTTAAGGTCCGTGACTCTGAGTACTCGTCAGAGACCATCAGAACATTTCGCAGTCTTTATAATCAGTCCACAGGCAGTCATTGTCATTTGTGTACAGAAGATCTCAAAAGATGTTTACCGAAATTTTGAAATCTGCTACCGAAGGAGCCTGCTCCTCTTCCATTTGAAGTAGCAGATTAATTAACTGGAGTGTCAATGTGTCTGTCAGACTCTCGAAACGCGTGAAAACCAAGACAACGCGGGAAAACCCCCTCCTGTTAAGGAAACCGGGATGAACTTGAAAAAATTACTTGTCTATATAAAACCGGATCTGTAAAGTGAGTTGACCGGTGGTATTTTCCTGCAATTCGCCCAGACAAATTTTGGCCTGCATTTTCTGTCTTAAGGAAAGGCTTTTATGTCACTTGAGGGCTGGCAGGATGATTGCCTGTCTTACGTAGTCCGCAGAAGAATGGAATAAAAAATTTCGTTAATGTGTTGTTTTCAAACGTTTGGAGGGATGACTTTAAAGGCAGATGTTTAAATACGCCCGAGCAAATAAAACAAATTAACGAAGAGTATCGGCATCACTTAGTGCCGATTTCGTCGGCAAAGACATAAGAAACCAAATGCTAACGGCTCGCTGTCATCAAAATTTACATTAGTGACGCAGTATGTCTGAGTTTTTAAGCTCACAGATGAGACAAAATTAAGGAATAAAATCGGTGATAGGACTGTCGGCGCTTCTCAATGGGTTATCGGTTTACCTATATGAGAGGTACTCTCTGGACATTAGGATTTATCGTGAACTGGTGTTCATGCTTGCCAATAATTTATTAAATGCTTCTTAAGCTTTTCGTCGAAAATCTTCCGTGCATGGAAAGGTCCAGTTGAACACCCAATTTTCACTTTGCTTTTCTAAACCATCACAAGTTTTTAGATTACCTCCCCCACTATAAAATGCCCTAGCCTGGAGAGGCACGGTCAGGGGCCTACCTAACAATTTATCTTTCATCATCTGCTGCATTATTTTTGATCAATTGTCAATGTCGGCTCAGGTTGCAATGGGAGTAGGTTAAGTAGAGTGGAAAAGTGAGTTTAAAGTCCACGCTCTGACGTCTAGACAAAATTTTGCTGAGACAAAATGTCGTTGTTAGGGCAACAAAGAAAGGCACTTTACTTGCCATAAGGGAGGCAAAAAAAAAACAATGCAATAAACAGAGAATTCTGCCACCACCGAAATTATTAGAAGGAGGAGGACAATGAAACGAAATCTTTTGTCATTTGGACTTTTACGGCATTCTAGCTCACTGTACTCTCGTCTTTGTTTTCTCTTAAGTGCATTTTCGGGATGACGCTACTGCAATGATTACCGGAGCACACACCCAACGTTATACTACAAAAGAGTTTGGGTAGCAGAAATAACGAGAACTTTTATGTAGCCATCGAGTTAGAACAAAAATTTCAGTTATGTTTTCACTCTTTGTCATTTCGCACACACACAGGCTTTTAAAGGCAATTAGCATCGGGTATTGACCATCACTCTTTGGTCGCTTACAAAGACAAAACCCGACAAACAATGACAAAATAGATTAACTGATATTTTGTTTTGATTTTTGATTCTTCCCCTATGGTATTAAACGCAAACCCAACTTTAATTCGTAGGGGAAACGCTTTTATCTCCATATCCTGTTCAGGGATCATATAAGTCCGTTCTACTTGTGTTTCTTACGCGGAAAATATAAGGCTTGCCGGTTTGTAATTCTAAATGCAAATTCAACGGCAGGTCAGATCAAAATCATTAGTTTATTAGAAAATCAAAGCGGAAATCATGTACGCTCTAAGGGTCTTACATCTTGTCCAGGATTGGCTGGCTCCGTCTCAACAAGCTGATTTGATATTAACTTAAACATTTTCCTATTCTGCGATTCGCATAAGGAATCTCGATACTCAGATACACGGTTAGGCATCCTGTTGTCTTCCGACGGTAAAAAAAGTCACCGGGGGGCGTTTAAGTATCACTTAACCTTCCTGCTTCCTGAACAATGTTTCCTAGCACTTTCGTCTGGTTGTCTTTACGATCATCTTAAGATTACAGAAGGGTACATTTATTGCGGATGGAATAATGGTTTTTGGCGCACACTCTCCCCCCTCGACGCAGTATCGGTGCTAGCATCACAGCATGGAAATTTAAGAAATGTTCGTCTGCGAGACGAAGGCCTAGTCTAGACAGCAAGGAAGGGTTTTTTTAGTCGCCATGAGGGCATTTATCCATAAAACGCAACAAACAAAAATCCCCACTGGGAACGACATCAAACCTGATAATTCCAATTAAAATGGCGGAACTTTACATCGAAACGCGTTTTCATGTGCGAGTTTTCCATCTTCCAATTTACTACAGCCTGCTCAGAATTACAATTTCAGGCTTATGCTGTGCCCAGGATTTCTAGAGTCTATAGCTTAAATTAACATTTTATAATTATCTATTTATGATTAAAGGAAATGTTTTTGTTCAGGTACAAGAACAGGAAGAATCCTTCTCGCACTGTTAAGGAGTGCCATGAACCCGTTTTAAAAATTATTTGCCATTTAAATGTCTACGCTTGGTCTTTTCACATGCTTTTGTTGGACGGCTTGAGCAACGACGCTATTTCTATAACAAAATAAGGCATTTGAATGAGCGGAACACAACAAAATTTTGACAGGAATCCTTGGCTATTTTTTTCTCAAGTTCAATTTCTCACCTAAATATATTTTATCGGGTGTTCCATTGGTCGTTTGAGGTTCAGTTTTGGGAAACGTAATTTCTACAAAAAACTGGCAGAGTCTTAAGAGCTAGGTTTTTGAGTCTTTTTGAATCTAGTCAACATTCGCTGTCAGATAAAACCTCTGATTTCTTGCGGTTGGTAAAATTTTAACCAAGCGCCTTTCTAGTATAAAAATCGTGAACTCAATATCATGTTTAATCACGAAACTTCTACCCCGCCCGCCACCTCTAGACGGTGGTGACTATTCGTGTTACAGATCTGTCGACCTACAAACATGCACTCAAAGTTTATCATAGACAAAAGTGTAGGTCTAGCTTTGACGCAAACTCCCTTAGTATATTTCGCCAAATCCGGATCGATACTTCACTAATTTTAACGAATTGCATAAAGGTACAAAGAGCAACTAACCGTCGAATTTTTCTGTTTGACATCGTAAGTGTTTCAAACGAACTTACTCACGATAAAAACACGGCAGTAAATATATCCGCATATCCTGAATTCTTGACTATTTTCTGATGAATTAAAGTGGATGCTTTATTGGCAGTAAAAACATGCCTGCCTCGATTTTGCTTGCTTAACTATTCCGACGGCTGCACGAATTTAAGGCATTCCTTTGTTACGAGCTGGGTTGCGACTGCAGGTCCCTGCAGGCTGGTTATAGATGGCGAAATATTCGAGAAAATTGGAAAAAATTCAACACTCAAACGGTGTTTGTCCGCACACCTACCCTTCTATTTGGGAGAATTTTAAAAGAAATGCTTGAGAAACATTTTTTCGAAACTCCCCATAAATGTAGTCTTTTCCCCTATCCACCGGTTTTTATCCGACCACTTGTGCTTTTAGAGCGAATGTCTTATGAGTCTATAGACCCTCGTTCGCTTAATCGATTTTTCGATTTTTGTTATAATCTTCTTGCAGCCATCGTAATCCGCCTAGCAGACAGCCATAATCTAACTGAGTTCCGACGGCCACATTCTGCCTGGGGAGAGGGGAATGAAGTAGATGCTGTGAAACCTCACCTCACAATAAGGAAATTCTTGCGTAAGCCATCAAAGTTTGTGCAACCACTAGAGCAGAGGTGCGTATCATCCTTTTAAGGTCCAGCCTTCGTTATTACGGTGGTTGTCATTGTTAAATGTGCGCGGAAACGCCGGTTCGTCAATCTGTTTCAAAAGAGGAAGACTCTGTTACAATGTACAAATTTCCGAAATAACAAAAGACACTTTCAGGATATTAGAGAGTGGTTGAATGAGTAAGTTGGTTTGTTTGTCGCAACTGTGTTCTGGAAACTCATGCATGGAAGGATCTACCTCCAAGCTGCGCTTCAATAAACTTGCGCAGTTGACGTTTGCCGATATGTCCGCACGGACAACGGCTTTCTACTGCCTTAAACCGACGCAACGTTGCAGACAACAGAGGAAATAGTTGCAAAGGGCGTAAATGTAGCATCTTGAATGGTCGTCAATAGTTTTGTTTCTTAACAGCTACTCCCATTGAAATAATAATAGTTCAATAATAAGGCCTAGCTGTACTTATGGCCATGTTAACTTTAGCAATTGCCGTTACGTTGTTCGAAAACGTGCCTAAGTAAAACCGAGACACGATGGAAACCGCCTTTTTGTGCGGTTCATGCGCTGGTAAGGCAAAGCTTAAAACCTGGTAAATGTCTGCACACGTTGTCACTGGAGTCAGAATGAATCCTAGATGAGTATTATGGTTAAACGCTTCCGCACGATACTTTTTAACAGTTAATGCATCTTATAGAGCCATAAGCACCAATTCATGGGTGATGGGGTATAATGAAATAAACTGTTACGTTGAGCTATCTTCATTCTATGCATGAAACAGACAACTATTTTTTTAAATTGTCTTGCTACAAAGTGTTGCTGCAAAAATTTGTGTATTGCAAAATGCCCGTATTATGCACGCTTTCAACGAAATTTATTTAAAGTGAACGTAAAGCAATAAAGTACTTATTCGGATGCATGTCAAATTGCTTCTCAATCAAGACGCGTCCGGATTAACTTGAGGTAGCTTAATCCGCATAGGGATTTTGCCCACGGAAATCCGCTTAGGAGGATTTTTACATAACAGTCCAGAAAATCGCATTTATCCTGCATTCGTAGGCGTCAAACTGCTTTATCTAAAGCGAATGGCTTTTTCGCTTTTTGCGCAGGACATGCTTTTTGTGTTAGAAGACATCATTTGCCCGTGAAGATGTTAGAAAAACACAATTTACTTATTGATATCCCCCAATAAAATTGCTGTATGAACTGACCCTAATATTTTTTTAAACTTCAAATTAAGAAACGTTTTATATGCAAAAAAGCTTATCCCAGTTCGTTGCCAAACGAGTATAAGAGAGAGTATTTTAATATATGCTTTCTGTAAAATATCTGAATTTTTAAAGGCATCCAGATTAAACAAAAAATATTTTCAGCTGAACCGTTTGTAACAACCATAATTGTTTGTATTCGAGCTAAAGGTCACTCATTCAAGTTCCAGCATCCCGGTATGACGGCAATGTCTTGAGATTATGCAGCATGATAATCCCTATAAGAACACCACTTGGGAATTTATTTCTAGTCAAAAGTCCTTTCAGATTTTTTGTTAGCATTTCCTGTGACAGGCCAGCTTCGGTATTTGAATACGTGGCTCTCGATGATGATGATGATGATGATGATGATGATGATGATGATGATGATGATGATGATGATGATGATGATGATGATGATGATGATGATGATGATGATGATGATGATGATGATGATGATGATGATGATGATGATGATGATGATGATGATGATGATGATGATGATGGAGCAATTCAACATTGTGATTGTGCTTCTTGGTATAGAGTCATTCATCTACAAAATTGCCATGCCCCCTTAAAAAGCTGCAGCAGGTAGCAAGTACCCAATGTAAAACAGTGGGATTGTAAGTCAATTAAACATGAAAACTTGTCTGAGGCGGATTTTACCATTTGTACGATTTTTTCTAATTTGCGTATGTCCTTTTCAAGAGCAGGACAAGCTTTCGAGTGATCCCTTTTTCCTTATTATCAATAGCATTAAAAGCATCCTGTATCTGAAACCATGGAGAAATCCTTGATCAGTAAATTGAGAACATTGCATGCAAAATCGCATAGAAAGATCACGCACGTTTTCCTGAATTACTCGAAGGAAACTAACGTAGCAAAATGCGTACGCTCAGCCAGGATTTGCTTGCTAAGTAAAAACGAAAAGAAACCTGGGATATAAATGTGATGACTGGAAATTGACCTCTTGCCGCCTGACGTTTCGGATGTATGCTCAAAGTTATCATCAGGGACGCCATTCTATACGTCAGTTAATGCATAGGAGGTGGCAGTTATCATCACGCCAACATCTAACGCGGGTGATGGAACTGCAACGCCTGCCTAGTCGAATGTAGGTCATCAATCATTGCACTAAAGACAGTCATATTAGATGAAATATATGTTGTAAATTTTTATAAGTATGCAGTAACATAGCGAGTGCATCCTATTATTATCATAACCTCTTGTACAGGAATTACTTGTATCTCATATTGTCTTTTATTATAGATTCGAGTATGAATCCGAAGCATTAGAGAAATTAAGCTCTTGTTCGGGCGACCGCGTTTGCTTTATATCACTGTTCAAAATGGCAATTCAGTGATGAGTGTACCCGCCTCGTGATGCTAAATCGTTGGTGAACACAGCTCCAGGCGTCTCCTCATCTTCAGCACTTTGCCTGAGTTCTCTTCCCCAAAACTACTTTCGCGAAAGTCGGCATGGTTGGGTTTTTTATCGAATTCCGAATGCCTCTGAAGGCGTGACAAAAACGGCTGTTATGACTCTTTTGGGTTTATACGAATTTTTCGCATGCCATTTGACTTCCGAAATGCTTGACAGACATTGTAACCGTTCACTGATAACGTTCTACGCGTGATAGATGCCAGTCAAAAGGCTGAAGAACATCTCCAACATCTTGCTCTGCTGATCAACCGTTTCCCGCGGCATGTCCCAGAATCCTGATAAATGCGTTTTAGAAGCCACCTCTCTTGAGTTCTTAGGTCAGTTGCCTCTCTCCCAAAAGGTCGTTGTCATTGCCGATAACTACAGTAGGTGGGTTAACTCATGAAATGTCAACCGAAATTCCTAAATGCGTTTTCGTTTCGAAAATATTATTTAAGTAGTGTCGTAAAACTTATCAGCCTGCAACATAATTCTATAATAATTCAGTTACCTCAGGATGCCGACGTGCGAACGAACATTTCTCCGGCTGCTTATTCGGTAGATAATAACGTCTTCTTCCAATTTTATACCCGAAGGAAGGGTATAATTCGGTCTTCAAAAACTTCTCTAGTTCCCGAATAAGGTTGAACCCGCTCTACCGTTACACTTAGATTCAGGGTTTCCAAACTACAAACCGTGTGTTTTCCGCGTTCGGAAAACCAAACATTTCTCTACGGTAATAAAGGGGAATTATATAGGGTTCATACAATTTAGCAGTGGATTTGATCCATACTGTTAACTTTTAAAGCCACATTGGTAAATGGAGAGACAAGACGATTTATGAACGGCCACTTCACGGCACTAAAGTGTCTCACAATGAAAACCTTTTTTAAAACCGACTTATGTCCCTACTTCAATTAAAAGATAAGAAGAACACGTAATTTTCTACCGAATGAGTAAAAGAGTAAATATTTTTATCTACGGTTTCCATGACGTATAATTGGACTTTTGGGAACATCGAAAATCAATGAGAAAAATTTATGCTATATATGTACTCATTTTTTCCAAAGTATAGTTTTTGCATGCAGACGGAAAGAAATTCATTCGTGAACCGGCATCCCGAGGTAACTGGAACATTATAGAATTATATAGCAGGCTGACTAGATTTACAAACCTACTTAATTAATCTTTTCGAAACGAAAACGCATTTCGGAATTTCGGCTGACATTTCGTGAGTTAGCCCACCTACTGTACCTCCAAGCCTCAACTGTAGTGGTTCCACAGTATGGTGAATTTTATTCGTCGGTTCCTCCTGAACTGTGCCGACACCATCCTCCCACTGATCAGTCTTCTCGCAGGTGCTAAGCGCACTCTTGAACTTACACCAGCAGCAATTGAGTCATTTCAGCAGGTAAAAGTCCTTTCGACTGATGCCACACTCTCACACTGACGCACCCACCTCGCTAATGGTCGATGCTTCCAATGTTGCTGGCGGTGCAGCCCATCAACAGTGCCTCCCATATCTGATTATTCGTTTGTCTTTTTCAAGGAAACTATTCAGCGCCGCTATAGCACATTCGAAGACGAAGATGTGATCACTGGAACAAGAAATTTATCGTCCCGACGTTTCGGATGCTCACTTAAATCCATCATCAGCGACAGACGCAGGTAAGGGTAATGAAGGCATAAAGGCTGCAGTTTTTATAGGACGTGGCTGCCGTGGAGCCATATGCGCACTGTAATTAACAGCTCTCGCACTCACTGCTGGGGTCGTAATTGATGCGATGCTGGCTTGCCAGTCCGCGTCCGAGTCGTTAATGGCCGTGAGTTCGTGATTCGTACTGGATGCTGACTGTCTCTGGAACTGTTGTTTGCTCGCGCCCTCCCCACGTGACTGATTCTCCTGCCCAGGGAAAATCTCAGCACAGAATACGGTAAGGAGAGGTCATTGCGCTTGTTGATGGATTGCGGGCCTGAGAACCATGACTCGAACAGCTCGCGGCTCACGCGATCATCACCCCTTGGAAAATTTCAACCTTCTGAAAATATGGCCGAGTCCCGTCGAATAAGCCGTCACCTGAGAGCTAGCGTCTCTCCGCCTCACTGCTGCTGCGTGCTCGGCAATCCGCGTACGGAATAATCTCCCAGTTTCTCCGACATAGTTGCTTTGTCCGGAACTGCACCAGATCCGGTAAACGACTCCAGACGTTTCTTGCAGTGGCAATGGGTCTGTCGGCCTCATGAATTGGCTCCTGGTGGTTGATTCCGCTTGTGTGCAACCCCAACTCCAAGTCGAGTGAGAAGATGACTGAGGGCTTCCGAGACGTTCTTCACGTATGGAAGAGATGGCCAACATTTGCGGCCGGTTGGGTTTGGTCTCCGGTGTCGTTTTCGTATGCACTGGTTGACAAAGTTGCGCGGGTAGCCATTGGCTCTCAGTATCCGTCGAAGATATTGTAATTCATCAACGGTGTCTTCCATGTCACTGCAGTGCGTCTCAACGCGCCGGTATAGCGCCCTTGCACATACGCCCCTGGCGATCGGGTGATAACTGTTGAAGTTTTTGGCTGAAACGAGCCTGTGACCGAAACTTCAGGCCAATGAATTGCTTGCTACAGTGATCACATCTTCGTCTTCTGAACTGCTACCTGGAACTCGCCTGTTGCTTCTATCAGCACATTCGAACATGAGCATCTTACCATTTATGTTGTCGTGAAGCAATCCCGGTATAGCCCGGAAGACGGACAGTTCACAATATTGGCAGGCCAGAACCCGCTTACGTTCGCTTTGCATTCTCAATCCTTCAAACTGAACCCTTGGGAGATCCGTCAATTGAACTACTCTGTGCAATTCAATTTAGACACCTGCCAGATCGACGGGTCACGGACTGAGGCGGCTGGCCAACCCTCCATCGCTAATCTCCAGTTTCCTCCTTGCTGAGATGGCCTCTGAGCAACGTCGTGTTGATCCCTCCCTGTGACGAGGACGTTCCCAGATTCCCATCCCCTGACCTGCCACTGAATACTGGTAACAATACCAGGACTTATCCACCGCATCCCATCGTCACTTTGGGCTGCAATCCCCTCGCCTCACGGTTTTCTCCTCTCTGCACAACCTATCGCATTCTGAGAGATGAACAACCAGCAAGCGGGTCTCCGACAGCTTCGTATGGTCAGGGACACATAAAAACCCGAAAGCTGGGGCACAGGCGTGTATAGTATAGTGTATTTCTGGTAATAGGCAATGCCCTTGATGACCCTATTGAGGACGATACATTTAATGTTAAACACAAATCTTACTAAAACACTGTCAGTAACATATTCGCATATGAGAAACTTTTCGAAGTGTGGAACTGCGAAGGTTACGGCAGAGAGTCCTTTCCGTGTGCACCTGAGATTATAAGTGCAATTATATACAATCAGCACAAAATGTTATTATTAGCAGTTTGCGGGAGAAGATTTCGTCGAACACGCGTTTCATAGGGAGTGTAATCAGGAAATTAAAGTCTCGACTGTCAGCGTCGTCACCCTTACCGACCTCCGTGCAAGCTTCAGCGACGTCGAGCAAAACATTGTAGGCCATTTGCCTCTGTCCAATAACTGCTGCTATCTCCTCATCCGTGCAAACGGTGGTGGTGGCCGGAAGCTATCCCTCTCCCTGATGTCCAGGCTTCGACTGTGTTCAAGGTGTTCCTCAGTCGTTGGGTTACCATCCCTGCTGCCACCTCCGCTATCATGACTGACCGCGGGGCCTACAGTTACTGTAATCTCTTCCAGTCTGTCATCTCATTTTGGGTTCTACTCACAGCATTATGACAGTCCATCACCCGACCGCCCGGCCGAGCGGTTTCACGGGCAGCTGCTGACCTTCTTACGCGCCGCAAATGATCTGCAGAACTAGACGAACCATTTTTTACTCGTCCTGATGGACACCTGATCCACTCCTAAGCAGAACCTTAACTGTTTCGTCACTGAAACTGTCTTCAGCGCCACGGTCCGACTTCTCGGACAGATTAACTCTTTCGTCATGGCCGCTGGCATCAACTATAACTTCCTCATCAAAATCGAGCATTGCATTTACAGTGCAACCACACACTCCTATCCCCCAGCATATATCGCCACAGCGGGCGTCAACTGCGCTCCTCCTGACTGCCTCGTTACTCGATTATTTAGACATGTGCATATCCTTCGGTGTCGTTTTAAAGTTACCCTCCGGTCTTGGGGGATGCCATACTAACCAGGTTTTTAACCTCGTCGAATATGTATCGCTAGCTTAGAGCAAATCAGTCCTTTGGATACCTATAGACCCGGACTGCAAACTGACGTGAGTATTTGGGCCGTAGTTTACCAGCCACGGTGGAGTAACTGCGTAATATCCCTACTCTCCTTTTCCACGACTGTGTGGGAATCAGAAACGACCACACCGCACCATTTTCTGAATTGTTTCCTGGAACTCGTCTGTTTGCGTCTATCAGCTTCTCGTAAACAGGCGGCCAATAATAAATACACAGATTACGTAAGCACTAGCTAAAAGTCCATACACGCGTGTTTTGCCGGTATTCTGCAGCTATGTACATGACACCGCTACGAGAGGTTCGGACCGTTAATGGGTGCTCCAACGTTCCCGTGTGCTTTTTCGGTTAGTTCTCCATTTTTTAAACTTCGGCCTTCTTTTTCCCTTAGGAATTAACTGCTAACTTTGAGCACAACAGTTCACTTTATTTGACTGGAACCCCTCGCTGTGAAGATGAATGGTCATGCGCAGAAGAACCTTGGATAAGATCGACAGAAATGTCAATGATGACTGCCGGCAACAAGGCATGTAGTCTGTAACTGCCAAATTGTCGGCTGGCGCGACTGCAGCAAGACACTTTTCTCGATACTCTCTTATGGCTCATCCGATTATGTCAGATCCAAGACAGCCTTCTCGAAGACCGGTTCGTACAGAGTGATGCGCTTTCAGCGTCGGTTTGGCTTTGCCAACCACTGTGTTCTCACCCATCACCCAGTCCTCTAGACACCGTCTTCTCAGTGAGAATGAAGTATTATTGGAGGTAAGTGTGGTAAACGTAACGAAGTTCTGCTCATTGTAAATTAATTCAGGCTGATTTTGCCGTTCCACTTTCTTTGAGAGGATATTTGCCTCGTCTAGTAGGATCAGCCGTGATGATTTTGGTAGCAGTATTTCGAGTGAAGGTAATAGGGTGAGCATTATTACTGTTATTTTGAGTGATATTGCCTGCGGTAGTAGTATCTTGGTGGTGCTAGGAGTAGTAGTAGTAGTAGTAGTAGTAGTAGTAGTAGCAGTAGTAGTAGTATTACTAAAGGTAAGATGAGTATTATTTGCGGCATTAATGGTGGTGGTGGTGTTGGTGGTGGTGGTGTGGTGGTGGTGGTGGTGGTGTGG